AACCTTTACTCGTATTATAGTCCAATATTTGTGACCACACCACATTGGTGAGGTGTATACAGTCTTCGTGCTGTATTTGATTTAAGCATTCAAGTGTAACATTACTTCCCCGCCTGCTCTTCGTTTTCTTCCTCAACATTAAGGTAATTAAGATTATATGATAGCGAATTCATTGTGCCATTGGCAAATAACCGGTGACCATACCCCCACTCTGTGTCATCGGGGAAATAAGGCCAACGTAGACATGCAGTAAGATCCACCTCTATCCTTTGACATATGATTTGAGCTGAACGCTAACGTTTCGTGGGGGAAATCTATTCCACGATGTGTATACTGCCTAGGAAAAATATCAGAATCACAGGTCTTCACAGCAAAAGATGCGTCTAGCTGTTCGATTATTCACTTTATCGGTATCAGCCCACTATTTTCAAACTGAAAACGTGCTTTCAAGACAACGTTCTTTGCATTTATGCTCCATCGCAATGAGGCCGGACCTTACCGTGGTGCGGTGGTTTGTGTGCCTCAGTGATCCATTGAGCTATACTGGGTGGTGCTTTTGCACCTTCAGAGCCACTCATACCATATTGATCAATGGTTAGAGGCCAGACAGACTCAGCCTCCTGGTCCTCCAGGTTGGGGGTTGGAATGAGGGAGGCTCCTTATTCCTTAAAACGGACTCCTTGTAGTCCAATGCCAAACCCGCTGCCTTGCGGCCAGGTTTTTGAACCAAAGGCTTTGGTTGATAACCCTAATCGTTCTCCTGTCTAGGCCTGGGCAATCTGACAGTATCCTGCCCACGCAATACAATGAATCGCACTTCAAACAAATTTCTGATGCTCTGGCCACCGCAGAGGATAATCAACGGTGCCCTATCTGCTGCATCGGGCAGAGTGGATAGGGGTTTGGATGCTACTGCTCAAGCCTTCCCATCTTCTTATTCCCCTTCTTGCGCTTTTTACCCTTATCGTCCCGTTCCAGCTTTACTTTCATCCCCCCTGTTTTTAACCCCCCAATTCTCGGCCCTCCCCCACCTTGCTTCAATAGTCGCTTGTCTTTTAGTTTCAACTCACAGGTGAACGCGGAGCGTCATTCCTGCACTGTCAACAGGCCCATGTCCAAGCTAGCGGCCCATTCCAGTTCATCGGCTTCCATTTGGAGCCCTCGATCCTCCTTCAGACTTGCATGCCTCAATGTTCGCACATTGCTTCAGATCGGTCAACAGGCAGCACTTGCCCGAACATTAGAGACCCTCCATCGCTATCTGCTGCTTATCGGAGACCCGCCTGCAAGACTCGAGCTCTGTACTCACTCTGCGATCCCCTTCAGGTGACACTGGCAGCACTTTCTCATTGCGCCTATCCGGTGACGATGCAGCTTCGCGTCTCGGCCAAGCCGGTGTTCGTATTGCTCTGAGTCCCCGGGCTGAAACTGCTCTGGTTGATTGGATTCCAATCAGTAGCAGGATGTGTGCGGTCCGATTGACTGGCTCGTTTAAAACTTCGAAGTCGCGTGTGACTAACAGGTGTCTATTTGGCATCGCTGCCTATGCAACGACAAACTGTAGCGATGACTCGGTAAAAGACGACTTCTATCGCCAGCTGAACGAGCTCCTTAGCTACAGAAGAAGCTCGGACACTGTAGTGCTGGCCGGGGATCTGAACGCTCCCGTAATGATAACGGTGAGCGGTTACTTCATTTGTGTGAGGATGCTCGCTTATTTCTTGCGAGCACTAATTTCCGACCCAGCACCCGCCGGAGGGTGACTTGGCGTCCACCAGCCTCGAACCAGCTATGGACGCAAATCGATCACATTGCTATCAGTTACCGCTGGAGAGGCTGCGTCCAGAACTGTCGCTCGATTTGGAGCACAGGTGTTGACACCGACCATGCACTTGTATGTGCTGACTTGCGGATGCGCTTTGGCGGACGCCCACGACGATGTTGTGAGCGCATTGACACCGGCCAACTGGCGAAGCCAGCTGTTCTGAATGCCTATCAAAGTACGCTGTCATGCGAGTTGGATAAACGCTCACTGGATGCAACTGAAGCTCACTGGTCTCATATTCACCAGACCTTATTTGCAACGGGAAAATCCTCATGTGGTGTGTCTAATCGCCAACATGGACATTGGGTCTCTTCACAGTCTCTGGAACTTATAGATGCTCGCCGGCATATTCCGGCTGGAAGCGAACACAGTGAAACTCGCAAAGAGCTCCGGGCGAAACTCCGTGCTAGCCTGAAGAGAGACTGCGAATCCTGGTGGTCTCACCGTGCAACCGAGATGGAAATGGCCGCTGCCCTTGGTAATCATCGTAAGTTATTCCGTCTGATACGGGAAACGGGCAGAGGAGACCTGATGTTAGTGAAACTATACGTGACGAGAGTGGACAGCCTATCCACAACTTATCAAAACGCTTGGAACGTTGGGCTGAGCACTTTAAAAGGCAATTTAATCGGTCGGAATTGTTAGATTTCTCGCCGACCAGTGATCGCCCCGATCCCTGGGCTGTCCCTTTGGATCCACCCTCTCGCTCAGAAGTCGAACGGGAGATCGAACTGTTGAAGTTCTATAAAGCCGCGGGACCTGATGTCCTTACTCCAGCCCTCTTCAAATTCGGGGGAGTTGCTCTTGTGGATGATTTACTCGAGTTACTAGTGAAACTGTGGGAGCAGGAAACTGTCCCAACCGATTGGAGCCGCTCCGTCGTAGTCTCAATTTTCAAGGGAGGCTCAAGATCGGAATGCGGCAGCCATAGAGGAGTCAGTCCGATCTCCATCGCCTCCAAATTGCTTGCCTCTGTCATCCTTCACAGACTGACGCACTCGTGAAAGCCAGATTCGTGAAGAGCAAGATGGATTTCGTCGAGGTCGTGGCTGCATTGACCACATCTTCACTTTGCATCAGTTGTTGAAGCACCGTCACATATATTGGCGGCCCACCGTGGTCGTGTTCCTCGATATCAAAGGTGCATTCGATTCGGTGGATAGACATGCACTTTGGGACTGTCTACTCAGAAAAGGTGTACCTGAGAAATATGTGAATATTATCCGAGCATTATATGCGCGTAGCTCGGGCAGAGTGAGGGCTTACGGCAAGCTGTCGTCGCCCTTTAATATCTCCAGCGGCGTGAGACAAGGATGCCCGCTGTCACCTTTCCTCTTCAACTTCGCTGTTGACGAAGTCATGGAAATCGCATTCACGGGACACGACTTAGAAAGTGTAGAGCTACTCCCAGGAAAACGACTTCTTGACTTAGAGTATGCTGACGATATTGCCCTGATCTGTGACAGCTCCCAGACTTTCCAAGCGGCACAGGACAGATTAGCACTAGCTGTCCGTCACTTCGGGCTTTGCTTCGCACCCTCGAAGTGCAAAGCGTTCCTCCAAGATTGGCAGGGACCGCCTCCTGCGCTGACCCTTGGTGGGGATCAGCTAGAAGTCGTTCAAAAATTCAACTACCTTGGAAGTTGTATCAGCGGCCGTGGGATTGAAGATGAAATCACGAATCGTATAGCAAAAGCTCGTAGTGCTTTTGCTAACGTTCGCCACATGGCGCCGGCGCGACATCACTCTTGCCCTGAAGGGTAGAGTGTACAATGCAGCGGTACGTTCGACCCTACTGTACGGTTGTGAAACCTGGTCCCTTAAAGCAGCGGACCTGAAGAGGTTAGTTACGTTCGACCATCGGTGTCATCGTAATTTAGCTCACATCTGGTGGGAACACCGCATGAGCAACGAGCGTGTTCGACGCCTTGTTTACGGCACAGGAAAAGGAACTGAACCGCTCAGCACCGTTATTTCACGCATCAGGCTCCGATGGCTCGGCCACGTGTTACGCATGCCAGCCCACCGACTCCCGCGACGTGTGTTGCTTGCGCGCCGCGGGTGTGGATGGAAGAAGAGGAGGGGTGGCCAAGCGATGACTTGGTCGAGAGGAATGAAGGCCCTCACTTCTGAGCTAGCCTCGGTTGGAGCGTCTCGGCTCCCTGGTTGGGGTCCGAATGACGATGAACACGTTTGGTTGGACACACTTGCTGATATGGCTAGGAGCCGACCTCAGTGGCGTTTGTGCTGTGAGTTTCTTTGTCCCACCCCAGCCCTCTTAGCCTCCCCTCCAACCACGATCTCATCATTTAGCGTTTTATAATTTTGCATAATAATTTTTTTTGGGTGCACAGCAGCCGGCTGGTAGCTTACCGGAACGATGCCCATCCTTTACCGGTAGCTCAGCCAGCTTGCACCAGTTGCATTTTTTGTCCCTTTTTTCTATGTATTGAGGCACAGTAGCTGAGGTGTTCCCCACCTCTAGCTAACGTGTATGATGATGATGATGATGATGCATTGATGCTCATCTGTAAACGAATCCTTTCCTCCCCTCAATTATACTCCACTCGTGACAATACTACATTTTTATGCGGTTCGATTAAAAGATTAATCATTAAATATGATTTCCATCTCGGTTTTTTCATATTTTATTACTAGACTTGTTTCGTCGGGAAACACATCCACTTTCCTAGTTTGACTGTGGGCCTTGTTGTTGAGCGCTTACACAGTGATATTGTGGTGGCGCTTTCATATCTATCTTTAGTGGTCACGTTTTGTTCAGTTAGCTTGGTCGTATCATGGGGACTCTCACTAGCGGCTAGTCAACCTTTTGGTTGCTTTCGCCTAGGAGATGATCCCATGTTTGAGATGAAACTGAGGGGCCAACTGGTGGGCCCGATTCGGATAGCGCAGTTGTGACATATCGCAACCAGTAGTGTTCGGAGTCATTTTTATGTTTGTATTGTTACTTTATTGGCTTCATTCCTCAAAGGGCTAGTACACTCCGTAACGTTGACAGCAAGTTTTGGGAAGTAAAGTTTCTTTTCATTGAAGCTGTCCTTCCGCGAGTATCACTCAAATAAGCCGGGTATACGATGAAGCGAAAGGGATGGATCGACGCTTCTTCGGAGCTACTTATGTTACCTACTAATCAGCTTTCTTTTTCTTTTCACAGCGGTGAAACGTTCCTTGTGTTGGAACACATTTCGATCGGCATTCCCCCGGACATGGAACAGATTCTGGTGCATGGTAAGCCATGTTATTTGTGTGATATGTGTGTCCGGTCAAAGTTTTCAATATATCCCGTATCCATTTCATGAGGTGGTCGTAAAAGACCTGAAAGTCGACGTACAAAATAAATACCCAGACTGCCTGTAAAGTACATCTGATTAACACTTCGTAAAGGTGATGAATACCGTCATCACAACTACCGAGAGTTATCGAGCTTGAAGTAAATAGATGGAGAGAATAAGCACGGGAGAGACCTGATTTAACAGCACGTAAATAACTAGAAAGTTATAAGAGGAGAAAGCAGCATTGGCCGTCTAAACGAGGTTCAGCGATATTCTTATCTGGCTTGCTACAAAGACTTGCCCGGTTCTATCACATTTGATGGAAGCTTGAACGCCCCCTGAAATAGCAACATTCGTAGTGCTATAAAGGTATTTTACTAAAAGTTCGAGTAACCTGCTTTTAGTCCATGGTTGATTACATTTTTGTGTTTCTGGTGCTTATAAGATGTAAGTAAACACATTTTTCACTCCTGGTTAAATCCACTTCTTTAAACTTGAGTTTTCGTGTGTCGTATGCCAAGGGATCGGTCGGCACCGTGTGCGTTAGATTACCACAAGCTTTCATAGGTACGTATAGTTGTATTTTAACTAACTCGCTCAATTGCTTCATTTTTTAATCTCTTAGATCCAACTCTTCACGTGCACAGATACTTGCAATGGTTCGTCCGATCTTGCGCTTTTACCAAACGTTCGCCATGTCCTTTTTCCACACAGACCTGAATTTGACAATACGTCTTCAGGACCCCATGCTTATCAGTGGCCCTAGCGGTGTCGGTAAAACTGCGTTGCTACGCACCCTGGCTGATTTGTGGCCCGCGTTGGCTTCCGATCCTTTGAGTCCCGAAGCTAGCCATTTTTACCGATCACCTCACTTCAAACAAGTGTTTGTGCCTCAGCAACCGTTTGTGCCCTGTGGTGCGTCCTGTCCAACCGAGCTGTTTTCGATATTGGGGCTTAGTCAGACATCTTTCAACATCATTCCCGAAGCTCGTGCTTTGCACTTAGCCTACCTACTGTTGACAATTGCTGAGGTGCCGCAACTTCGGACTGATTCGGTGCCTACTAAATGTCTCAATGTTGAACCCCGCTTCTTGCACTCGACCACAGGTAAAACACTTTGATGATCTATTTTTTAAGTGCGCACCACATCTGATTTCCAACAGATTCAATACTTGATTCCCCGTAGCTGAGTTTCATCTCAGTTTGCTTACTATCCTGCAGAGCTGGACGGCCTCCATTGGGTCTAGTTTGTTTCATTCTCTGACATCCCGTTTAAACATGGTGGTTGCATCCCACATTCTATCGTTCGCGACACACATACCTCCTAATTCTGCTCCGTAGCAGGATTACAACTTGTCTCACATTGTTCCCATGATTGTTTTCACTTGGTCACCTCTCAACCCGTAAAGATACTGTTTGTGTATGGATAGGTAGATAATCCTATTATCGACACTAAACTATACTTTGTGGCCAGTCCGGGTAGTCGGAAGTGGCGTTCCTAGTCAACTCGAACTGTGTCACCTTCCAAAGACCACCACTTGTCGGCCTAGGCTCAAGTCGACTTGCCCCTGAGTCTGCAACTTCCACTATCCATAATTGATATCTGCCAGGTCACATCCACTGCCGGTAATGCGATGAGTTGCCATCTTTTAATGCACGAAACCCCAGTCACATTTACTGCATCTTACCACCCCCTACTTCTGTGCATCCACTTGATTTTTCATCATGTATCTTTTGGGACTATTCACCAATGTGATTCCTTGGTGTCAGACCCACAGTTCCTGTATTCCGATACAGAGATAATTGTTCGCTGATTGCACTGTATTTATGCGTCTGAGTTATCAAGTGCTAGTTGGAATGTTGTGTATCCCCGTCGGGTTTCTATTATTTCTCATCGGGACTAAGACGTTCTATCAATTGTCTCCGTTTCAGCTACTATTCATGTTGCGTTGATTGCAACCGCATTTCGTGACCTTTTATCAGACCCCTACGGTATTGATGAAGCAAGCGCAGAACGTACTGCTTAGAACGCCGCGCGTTACACTTTTTTAGCAGCGCATGCATACATTCTCCTGAGTCGACCTCGGATGTTGTACGTATCTTCTTATTTTCACACCATGGATTGCTACATTTGAACGCCCTTTTCCTTTCATCTTCCATTTACAAGCTGTAAACAATGCATTTTTGGAAAATGAACTCACCCACTTTGATGCTGAGGAGTGCCCACCTGGATCAACCTTGGGCAGGTATCAACTATGTGGATACTCTCTCGGATCCTACTTAAAGGCCCTCTCTCTACTGGCTGAATTTCGTCTTATCACAGCAGCAGAATGCCAACGATTGAATTCCGTCTTGATCCGTGAACCATTCAGGGACTGTGAAGAAATTATCGCGAAACGTTTCTGCACATCGGTTTCTCTCTGCGATTTTATTACAACTTTATTCCACTCAGGTTGTCAACCGGTGCCTCGCGGAGGCGGTCTTGATGGCAGTGAATGGTGAGCCCCTGTAAACATTCCTTGGTCACTACATCAGATATATCTACTTCAATGCGATTTATGTGAATTGCCATTCAAACTATCCGTGGTCTCTTGTTTCAGTAATTCCACCAGTCCACCTCAGTGATTTCGTGTGACCTACTTATTGTTTTGTGGGTCTTGTTTCTGTGTTTGTGTATGTACTAGTTTCCCGACTATCTTACAAATGTCATTCTGGTTCCTAGTCATTAAGTACAAGCCACTATTTTTTCTGGTGACTGAACCCAAGTTAGCTCGCAACACTGCAAGTTTTTGACCCCGATTTCATTCAGTAGAAGTTTCCTGTCGAATATCACTTTACCTTTCCACTCTATCCTACATTAGGAGATCTTCGTACTCTCCAGGTGAAATGCAACGTCTTATGTTGGCTTCTGTATGCTACCAATCACCGCACGTGGCGTTCTTAGACGAAGCCACCAGTCAACTAAATATGGAGGACGAAGAACAGGCCTACATAAGCATGCAATCTCGTCATATCACGACCATAAGCGTGGCTCACCGTTCAACTGTTCAAAAGTATCATAGACAAGAATTATCTCTTCGCTCATACGAATCTCCTCGTATCGGAGACACCGATCGTTGTTCTTCATGGAGAGCTGCAAGAGAATTACATGTCCCCGCTCCCTCCCAGTGGACATTACGTCGCTACTAATAATACCGGAGGGAATTATTTTTCTTTTACTTACGTTTTACTTCTCAATCTGATCAATCTTCCGCTCCTCCGAAATATCTTGGAGTTTTCCTTTCCTCTATTTTCCTCTCTTTTAGTTGACTTACCCATGTTTTTGCATTCCATCCTTTATTTGGAGTGAACTGTCTTTTAGCTACGCCTTTACTTGTCTTTCTCTCTGATTCCCATTCTAAACATCATTTTTTGTTAGATTTTCGATCCCATTACCCCATGTATTATATTAGCAGATGTGCCACACGCTGCATCAATTCGCACCGCAACTCAGTTGCCTTTCTTGAGCAGCCTACTCCGTGTAGCTTCCTGTGTCTTCTTATTTAACTACTATTAGAGATTCCATGCTCTCACGAGTATATGTTGGTCTCTATTGATTCACGAACGATTAGTATTTTCGAGTATTATTTGCTACCTTTTGGTGATCCAGATTTCGTAAATACTTCCAGTTAATTCGCAAATCAGGGAACCAAATGCTTCCTTTTACGCCGATTTTTCTACGTTCACTTATTTCAAATACAAACGAATCACATTTTGTGAAACTTATCTTCGGTTATCCAATACATTTATCACAACTTAACTTCGTTTGTGGACATCATTCACAGTCAAACTAAAGTCAGTAACAAACAAGCTTCATCTACCAAGCTGCCGATGCTAATGGCTTCCGTCTGATTTATTTGTTTTCTCGTGCAGTAATGCAGTCCCCTAGCTGAATCATTTGCGGTGGCGATACCCCAGTGACTAACGTACCTTTGGCATGCGCGACCAGGTACATCGTACTCGTACTGGCAGCGCACCGCTTTGAGACCCACACATCGACGGCGCCGGTTTTGAATTGATCACGCTGTGTTGCAAGCTGGGATTAGCCACTCAAACGTCGAACCTTATCATTCACTAACCCGGTGTATGCACCGCTTACTGTTACCAAACCAGCCACTGGCTCAGAGCAGTCTCGACCTTTGACACTCCGCTACTCATTTCGCACAACTCGGATGCAGTTCTTTTGTGTATTGATCCAATCGTAAGTGGTGATCCAAGTAACTGGGATTTCCACAGACTCTTGACTTATACTCCGTTGTAAGCCGGAACACGTGATTCTGGTAAGGTAGTGTGCAAGAAAGATAGATGCCAGAAGCCGAGTACAGCCGACTGTTGAAACATGTGGGATTTTATACAAGTGAGAGTTCCACAAGTGTACTTTGAACAATGATTTATGACGAGTAAAAAGCGAATGCTTGACAAGTCCCGTATGGGGACCGGAATGAGGATTATAATATTAATGTTTACTATCGGGATGTTAGTTGTGACCGCTACCCCTAAGCCACCGGATCACGGACAACGCTTGGCACAACGGTATAATGAATGATGTTGAGGGTCATTTTGAAGTACACGTTGTGTGGATGGATTGCGACGCGCAATCTCAATGTTGACCGCGATTCCCATTGTAGTGAACCTTAGACTTTCGATCACGAGGACCGTAGCGGATGGTCCCGGGTTCGATGCCTGCTAACTCTATCTGATGAGAGTAATAACATCGAAACGCGCCATAGTAGTGCACTGTTTTCGGGCGGGCAACACCCAATTTCCATTTGCATCAGCTGCGGTTCTGGTGATCGAAAGACCAAGGTTCACTTCAATGTGACTCGCGTTCAACATTGAGGTTGCGCGTCGCAATCCATCCACACAACGTGTACTTCGAAATGACCCTCAACTTCATTAATGTTAATTGATGTTTACTGTTTTTCCCCGTAAGCGTAGTAGGCCTATCCGCAACCCAACCTCGGTAGCAGTACCGTGGACACGTACGAACGGTTATCAGAACAAAGCCAAGACGCACTGGGAACGGTGTAGTTTGATTAATGAGTCGTCTCTTTATTGGTGTGATACGTATTGGCGCTCAATGGACACACGTTTCTTCCATCAACTTCGAGATTGTGCGTGCGTACAAACGGGACAGGTACACCGTCCTCTCGGATATCCAGTTACTGGTGCAGTGACGATTGTTAGTGCCACAAGCAGATGCTCCTACATCGTGCATGGCGGCCGAGATCCTGTTCCAATGAAGCTCATTGGCATTAGAACATGATAGTTCGGTATGCAATGCGTCTCCATAGGCTTACCTGACCGATGGCTGTGACAATTTCTTAGTTGCCAATCGGAGGGGACGCTTGGTGCGCCTCTCGGTAAAGTTCATGGAGAAACGACAGCGTACCAAGGCATGATCCGAGTCGACGCAGGTACTCCAGTACGAGCGGCAATCCAGGATGGAATCATGACATCTGTAACTTATGGCTATGTGGTCAATTTGGGTCCATCGCTGGCCAGCTACAGGAAGACGCCAAGTGGCAGTTCGGCGCCCACTGTCTAAAAGCAGTGCTACTAAGAAACAACTGGCGTTTCGCACACAGTTGTAGCAGACGCTCGCCGTTGTCAGTCCGTTCGGAGTTAAGCCCATAATTACCACCCAGCTGAACTTCTTAAGAGCTCAGACGAGCTAGTTGTCCGTTCATATCCCCTGCAAGTATTATGATATTTAAACTAGTGGTACTGCGTAGGAGCGCGTTCATTTTGTGATAGAACGTGTCCTTGACAGCATTTGAACTGCAGTCGGTGGGAGCATAAGCGGAAGTCACAAACAATGTTTTGTACTACTTGGTGAATCAACCTTAGCTGCTGTCGTCAAACGGGCTGCACATAAACGGCTGTTCACCGAAATCCAGTCGACCAACGATGGTTCAGCCTTGGAGCTTAGAATGGTACCTACACCAGGTTGACTCGTGAGTGCTTCATCGGCGTCTCCGAATGTGTGCAACCAATACCGAGAGGATCAGCCAGGTGCAGTTAATTCAACGACCCCATTAAAGTCACTGATCCTAGTTTCAGGCACACAACACACATAAATACCCAGTGTGTCCAAGGTGTGTGCGAGTGCAGCCTGTTGACCTATTTGTCTTAGAGTGCGAACGTTGAGCGTCACCATGGCAACGGGTCAGCGTGGCCTTACAAGGGACGGTTGCTGCTAAGCGTCACGTGCCTGTCGCCAGAAGGTGGCTTAAGATGATCCTACTTCAGTGGCACTTCGGTTGCTGGGACTTATAGCAGGTAGGTAAGTGATGGGGGGTCGGGATGGGAGTAAGAGAAAAAGGTGGAAAGATGTTGGGGTTTTATAGGAAAATACGGTTGCTTATTATTATGTAATTAACGACCCAACAAATAATAGTGAAAACTCCGAGATTAGGTAGGAAAATAGATTGTCAAAAGTGACAATAGATTGACACAATTTAACGATGTACCACGGTAGGACACAAGGCGCTGTTCAATCGTATAGCATGTAGTCAACCCCATTGACGTTTCATCCGTCGTGGTGCATGTGATGCTTATATTGAGTCAGTTTTCAAGTCTCACACGAGTCGATATGGTTAAGTGACCTTGTATCGGCCAAGCTTGCACGTCCCGTCTGCGCGTGCGTGCGTGCGGATGCTACAATCGGCCAAGCTTGCACGCGGATGCTACATATACTCCTCTCTTGCAAAGTGTCAGTGGTCTGAATCGGTCGGGTCTCGTAACTTTACGACCGAAACGTGTGACGTAGTTCGGAGGCGTGACTGGTGATTGCGATTTCGTAGTAGGGGTGTGATTCGAGGTATTGACTGCAGCTTCGATGTGTGCGGGCTTGAGACGGTCTATACTCACTGTATCGGTCCGAGTTGGGAGTTGAACAGTGAAATGCTTAGGACCGCGAGAAATGACTCGGTAGGGTCCATCGTACGGCGGTTGAAGGGGGTTTACGCACACGATCTGAACGTATGCAAACAAGCTCAATGCATTAGGTCCTAGGGAACGTAAGAACTTGTACTGGTTGAGAGTGGAGGTGCGTCACAGTTTTGACATGTGTAATTTCAACTCTGTTGCAAAATTAGATGGTTGTGGATGTTCTGTACTAGACGGACAGAAATATTCGCCGGGCAGGCGTAAAGTGATTCCAAAAACAAGTTCTGCAGGTGAGCATTGCAAAGTTTGTCGAAACATTGTACGTAGCTGTAACAACACAATTGGTAGTAAATCACACCATTGAGATGGGTTGTTGTGAGCCATTAGAGCTGTTTTGCTGTGGCGATGCAAACGTTCCACTAAGCCGTTTGCTTGCAGGTGATATGCTGTGGTACGGATGCGTTGGCATCCAAGAATGTTGGTAATGTTTGAGAAAAGAATGGATTCAAACTGGGAACCGCGATCAGTCGTAATGGTGGCTGGAACACCAAATGTCGCGACCCAATGGTTAATGAAATTACGAGCGATTGTTTCCGTGTGAGTGTCAGGTATAGGAATAGCGACTGACCAACGCGTAAAGCGATCGATGCAAGTGAGGATATACGCGTTGCTATTTGACAGAGGAAGAGGACCGACGATGTCCAAATGAACATGAGCAAAACGGGCATCGGGATTGCTAAAGGTTCCGAAAGGTGAGCGTGTATGGCGGATGATTTTAGAACATTGACAGGAAAGGCAATTTGCAGCTCATTCCTTGATGTCTCTGTACATGTTTGGCCATACGTATCGTTCAGAGATGAGACGGATGGATTGGCGGATTCCTTGATGTGAAACATTGAAAAGTTTCAAAAACCTGTCGGCGCATAGACATGCATGGTACATGCGTCGAAACATCACATTCGATTGTTCCGGGATGTGTATATAGAGGGAGTGGTTTTAACACAAGTGAAAATTTTTCAGAATGATTCGGATGATTCTGTCTTCTGAGCCTTCGCCATCTGGTGTAAATCGATTGCGGAAACACAGTCAACACCAGGACGAAACAGAGTATCTGCGACTACGTTTTGGTTGCCGGCAACATGCCGGATATCAGTGGAAAACTGAGAGATGTAATCAAGTTGGCGAATCTCTCGGGGCGAATATTTGTCAGGATTAGCAGAAAAGGCTGAAGCAAGAGCTTTATGGTCTGAATAGATGCAAAATTCACGGCCTTCCAAAACATGTCGGAAGTAACGCACAGCTAGATAGATGGCCAAAAGTTCTCGACCAAATACACTATACCGCGTCTCCGTTGGCTGAAGTCTCTTGAAGAAGAAACCAAGTGGTTGTTTCCGGTGCTCAACGGTTTGATGAAGAACAGCCCCTACTGCACTGTTAGATGCGTCGACGTGGAGAGACAAGGGGGCACCTTAGCGCACATGAAACAAGGTACATTGTTTCGCTAAGGTACATTTGGCTTTCTCAAATGCTTGTTGAGCTTGTTCAGAAAAATGAGTCAGAGTGAGTTTCTCTCAACAGGTCAGTCAAAGTCATCAACATAGCGGCTGCATGAGGAATGAAACGACGATAGTAATTAACCATTCCAAGAAAACGCTTCAGTTGACGAAGAGAAGTGGGACACGGAAATGAGATGATACCGTCTAGCCTAGGTTGTGCGGGAGTAATGCCATGCTGATTAATCGTATGTCTGAGAAAATTTAAAGAGGAAACACCAAATTCGCATTTCTGAACGTTAAGTACTACGCCATGATCTTGTAGGCATTGAAACAGTATGCGAAGATGGGCAATGTGTTCATCATGAGTTTTGGAAGCAACGAGAATATCATCTAAATAACAATACAAAATCCAGATTGTGGAGA